AGACAGACAGGCTGAGAGATAGACAGGCTGAGAGATAGACAGGCTGAGAGATAGACAGGCTGAGAGACAGACAGGCTGACACAGAGACAGGCTGAGAGACAGACAGGCTGAGAGACAGACAGGCTGACACACAGACAGGCTGACACACAGACAGGCTGACACACAGACAGGCTGCCACACAGACAGGCTGAGAGACAGACAGGCTGACACACAGACAGGCTGAGAGACAGACAGGCTGACACACAGACAGGCTGACACACAGACAGGCTGAGAGACAGACAGGCTGAGAGACAGACAGGCTGAGAGACAGACAGGCTGATAGACAGACAGGCTGAGAGACAGACAGGCTGAGAGACAGACAGGCTGACACACAGACAGGCTGAGAGACAGACAGGCTGACACACAGACAGGCTGAGAGACAGACAGGCTGAGAGACAGACAGGCTGAGAGACAGACAGGCTGAGAGACAGACAGGCTGACACACAGACAGGCTGAGAGACAGACAGGCTGACACACAGACAGGCTGAGAGACAGACAGGCTGAGAGACAGACATGCTGACACATATACAGACTATACAGACAGACAGGCTGAAAGACAGACTGAGAGACAGACAGACTCAGAGACAGTCAGACAGACAGACAGACAGGCTGACGCGCGCACACACCACACACACACACACACACACACACACACACACACACACACACACACACACACACACACACACACACAGGCAGGCAGGCAGGCAGGCAGGCAGACAGACAGACACACACAAAGACAGACAGACACAGACAGATAGACAGACAGGTTCACAGACAGACAGACAGACAGACAGACAGACAGACAGACAGACTGGTCTGAACCAGATATTGGTGTCCCTCTTTTATACCCACTCTAAAATGGCAGCTCAGCAGCACTCTGGTCTCCACTGTTGGCAGGAAGTGGTGACTGTTTGACTATGAGTGAACACTACAGCCTTGTTTGGGATTAAGCAGTGTATAAAAAGTACTTTGCTTCCATGTGCTCTAGTATAGAACTTGTATTCAATGAATGACTTCTTGTACTCGCACAACTACAGTTTATGTTCCTTTGTAAAAAAATAATGTAATTTAAAATTATTCTTGCTAGCTTTTGGAGTTGTCAACCATATACTCTTCATTGGCACATGTTAAAAGCAAGGGTTAAAATCAACAGTTGTTTATCCCTTAGTCTCTCAGATAGTATGGGAACATTTCATATGTCATATTTACATGCTGACTTCCTGTTCACATGAAGGCTTACTCTGCCTCATCCTGAGTGTGTGTGTGTTGTGCTGGGCCTGCAGTGTGTGAGTGTGTAACAATGAGGAGCTGACCTGACGCTGGGCTCCAGGGGGCAAAGGTCAGAGTGTGGTTCCCACGCTTTAAGCTCAATTATGAAAGTAAGAAGAGTAAATAGTGTGAATAACAGATATCACTGAGTTGGCTCACTGACTTCATCGCTATCCACTTCTGTTAGAGTATCATTTCGCATTTAGACAGATCTCCTGCTTCACACGTCTTATAAAATGTGCATCTTCTCTGGTTTATATCGTTGTAAATTGAATGTTATTGGGTTTTGGTGTGTTGGTTGTGATTTTGAGCGTTGCCTTTAAGGTCTGTAAAGTTTGCTTTTTGTTGAGTTTTTTACACTAAACAGTGACTTATTAACTAGCAGTTTGAGCTCTAAGTGTTTGGGATCATATGGCAGTTGAAAATATAATTCTTGAAAACAATCATACTTTCCGTATCCAACCGGTAGAAGAAGCATCTTAATGCCTGAAAAGAAGCTTTTAAAGCACTTCTTGAGGTGCATCTAACGGGCCGAGGATAATGTGTGAACAGGACGGAGCGAGGCACAGAGAGCAGACAGCTGGGGCGTTAAAGAGCCGAGGCCAGTTGTCCAGAGGCTGATCGCCACAAGCAGGCGTGTGCAGGAGTCCAAAAGAGTCACAGCTGAATGTGACCTTGTTACTGTAGATCCAGGCAGTCAGAGCTGACCTCAATCCAATGGGTTTATATAACCTAATGAAAAAGGTTAAACTGATACCAGAAACATGTCACATGATAGGCTTTGGTTCAAATGCTGCAACTACTGGCACTGACACTGAGCGGGCTGCTTAAACACACAACCTCTCATGACAAATGTCGTCTCAGGAATGAATACCCTCTTGAGTCCAGGGAGAAAGTACAACAACCTACATGTTGTCGGGGGGGCTACTGACTGTCATTTGACCCTCAGTTCTTCACTTGCATGTCTGTAGCGTAGCAGTGTGTGTGTGTGTGTGTGTGTGTGTGTGTGTGTGTGTGTGTGTGTGTGTGCGTGCGTGCGTGCGTGCGTGCGTGCGTGCGTGCGTGCGTGCGTGCGTGCGTGCGTGTGCGGTCAGTGGGCTCTCTAGGCGTGTATCCAACAGGTGCTGAGCGTGTCGGCCTCTGATGGTGAATGGGTTCTTTGTTGCAGAGGATTCACCCTCAGCGCCAGCAAACACACACACACACACACACACACGGTTTTGAGCTGAGGGTGCTGAAACGACAGCAGGTTGCTTAAGAATAACCACATCTAAACACATCGGATCTGTTAAAAGCAAATGCTGCGGTATCACATTTACAGATAAATGACCAACAGCAACGAGAATAGAGAGTAATTAGACTCCATAGACTGCTGTTGTAATAAGGCAATGAGGTAATGAAATGATGCCTTCACTGACATGGACCTCTCATGGATCTAAAGCCAGCTTTAGTTATGTTTATGGTAATATAATGTTTGTTCGATTTTAATGGCACTTTGCTGCCTTCACAACACATGATATACTGAATGTCAAATAATTTGCTGTAGACACAATACATAAAGAAACAATTCTTCCTTTATTTTATCAGAGCCCTTTTAAATCAAAACACATTTTTTCTCTGTGATCCACTTTGTGAGGGAAGTACAGAAAATAGGAATAGTCAAGTAAAAATACCTGGTAATTTCCACCAATGCATATTCACAACTCTGTATACTTATCTGTATACTACATATTGGACTGTATTCTTATTATACCTCCAGCGGATTTTCAGAGATTAAATCATATCTAAAAAGAATTGAGTGAAATTATGACATATACTTGCACGCCTGCAAGATGAGGAAAAATCTTGTTAGAAGTCACCTCTATGCAGAAAGCCCTAAAAGGAAGTGAACATACAGAGTGCCACATTCAGAATAAAAGAGCTCTACTCTTTGTTGTTTCACAGGCATGTTAACAATAAGGGAAGGAGTCACTGAGACTTTTGACAACTTTTTGGTGGCTTTGCCTCAGGTAGGTTGGATCCTTGGGCAAGATATTGATCCCCAATTTGCTCCTGACGGCATGGACAACCGTGTGTGAGTGTGTGTGAATGTTAATAAATCCTGAAGCTAGCTTTGTATGCCAGCCTCTGTATAAATGTGTGTATATGGGTGACTGCAGACTCACGTTGTAAAGCACTTTGAAAATTCACAAATACTGGGAAAGTAGTATATAAATGCTTTCCATTTCCCATCAATTTACTAATGATTTAGAAAATGACTGAAATGAAGGCAATGTTGCCTTGTGAATCTTTTGATTACCAAATCTGCAACTTGTAGCAATATTTTGAAAGTTGTCGTAGGCCTTCAGCAGCATCCAGAACTACCAACTAAATGTAGATCTTTGTTTTGCAGATTACAATATCGCAGCACTGCTGCACATTGAGGTTGTCTTTGTGTTCAGTATATTACTTTTGTCATTTGAAATGTGCCTTAGAGTTTGTTCTGCCTTCTAACCTTAAGTTCCATTTTCCCTGTTCTTTATTATAGAACAAACTGGCAAAGGCTCTGTATGACAACACTGCAGAGTGTGCAGATGAGCTGGCTTTCAGAAAAGGGGACATTGTCATGGTGCTGGATCAAAGCGTGGCTGGGACCAGCGGATGGTGGATGTGTTCTCTTTATGGACGCCATGGGCTGGCCCCTGCAAATAGACTGCAGCTTTTACCACAAACTGGAACCATTGCAAGCTCATTAAGCCATGACACAGAAACATTCAGATTTACTGATGCTGAAACGGATGACAGTGTGCAAAATATCTACCAGATCCCATGTGTACCTCGACCATGCAGCAGCCCAGCGTATGAACGCATGGATAAGATCTACAAGGTCCCGTCCACTCATCTATCAGCTTCAAAAATTCCAGTGCAGCAGGCACTAAGGCACAGCAAAGAAGGACCTGAGGAAAACCAGGTAACAAACATTGAATTTATGTAGAAAAAAGCTAAATCCTAAATGTAGACCTTAGTCTCTCTATTTATCTGGGGTCAAGACTTTTCCTTGGAAGAGTTCACCCTCTTGATTAGAGAGGTAGAATGTTGCAGAAATGCAAAGCTGTGAAACCCCTGCTGGCAAAAGAGCTTACAGATGGGGACCAGGGGCCTCTCCATGGGACAGGCATGTAGCACCAGGCTCTTTATGGGCCTGTAAAAGACCAACAGACACAGACTTCAGACACTTTTAACTTCAAACAGCAGCTCATGCCGCTAGGGACCCAAAAAGACAGAAGTGTCTGTCTGGCAGAAGGTGGAGAGAAATAAACTCACATGTTCACCATTTCCTCTCCCGCTCCAGGGGATTCCTGTTCCTTTCTGCAGTAGCCACCAAAGATTAAACAAGCAGCAAGGTTTCTATTATAGAGCTGCGTTAATTGGCAAAGTGTAACATAATTGGGGTTCTCCCGCACTCTCTATGGGCAAACACTGTCCACATAAATGTGTTGATCGAGAGGTCAATGATGTAATGTAGCTTTGATCAAAGCAGCGCAAGTCTTAACAGTCAACCCTGAAGAGAGCCTGTCTTTCTGTCTGCAGCCTTCATTCTCAAGCAAGCTGTCCAGTTCTACAGGAGAGGTTTACGATGTCCCGAGCCAAGCAAGACGAGCTTCTCTTTTCAACGTGAGCTCCTGCATTTAACACAACTAAATGCATCGCATAGGGACTTTTTGTAAATATTATGCCACTGTTATTGATATGTTCTTTTTGCAGGCATCAACCACTCCCAAACATACGCCACGGAAACCCTCCCTGACTCCAATTTCAGAGCTGGAGAAAAGATTTGATTCTCCGGAGAGTTTAAGTTGTTGCAATCCGGTAGACTCTTATGTGAGTTAAAGACATTTACAAGGATTATTGAACAAGGACCCTAAAATGTGCTAAATTAAAAAAGTCATTTAAAGACTTTTTTTGTCTGCATAACTGTAATAATGACAACTTTTTTCTTGTGAACAGGTGTATGCAGTTCCACCATCCTTGCCTCAGGATCCAAACTATGATATCCCTGTTCCTTCCACCACAGAAGCCCAACACATAATGATGGGTGGATACAGCACCCTTCCCATCCCCTGCAAGCCTGAGTGGATTTATGATGTGCCAGTGGGTCCTGAGAAACTTAGTCCACCCCAAATCTCCAATGATACCATGCCCTCCAAAGCCATTTGTAGACTATGTGACACTCTTTCAGCACATGCTTGGCCCATTCAAGGAGGCATTGCAACCTCCTTGCTTTATGATATACCAAAACACAATTCACTTGACATCGTGAGGCCACCCAAAGTGTTGCCAAGGGCCCCAATTTATGACAAGCCCCCAACTCAGAGGATTGTGGAGGACATTGTTTATGCAGTTCCACCCCAGGAGGAACCTTTAACTCGAGTTCTCAACCAACCGTCCAGTGATCATATCCCATTAGAGTGCAGGGGCGACTCAAGTAATGCTCATGAATTCACAAAGGTGCGTCTGCAGCGAATGAGGAACTTTTTGGCCTGCACATCTTTCCATTACCCTCCCGGAAGTGGGGAGTCACCAGTGCAAGAGGACAATGATCAAGGTAAAACCCTGCGACTCTCCGCAACAGACAGTCAAAGAATCAGCAGGGCCTCCAGCTCCTCCGCTAGCTCCTGTGACTCTCTGACTCTGAATTCCCCCTCTCCCGAGCCTCTGCGAGAAGTGACGCTCAGCCAGGATCAAGCCTGTCGCAAAATTCTGGACCTGCAAATTTCAATTTGCGAGGCTGTCCCCCGTCTTATGGAGTTTGTCAGCAGTCACTGGAGGAGCAAAGAACACCTGGAGAAACACCTGAAGGAAATCAAAGAAGCATCAGAGGGGATTGCATGTTCTCTTATGTGCTTCCTAAACTTTGCTTTGGATGTTAAAGGCAATGCACGCCTTTTGACCGATGCCAACCTTCAGACAAGGCTCTATAAACAGCTGTCAATTGTGGAAGACTCAGGCATGATCCTTCAACAAACAGTTAGTGCACTAAATATGACTGGCTGGCCCCTGAATACACTTTGTCAGGACTCTGGGCAGGTCCAGATACCTGATCAACTGGAGCGCTTCGTTATGGTGGCCCGCACGGTTCCAGAGGACATCAAGCGTCTGGTATCCATCATCAATGCCAACGGCAAGCTTCTGTTCAGAGCCTCGCAGAAAGCTCCAGAGCCTCTCAACCCCTTAGGTCAGCTGGATATAAAGAAGAGTCCTGATGTGAGTGAACCAGGAGGGGCCTTGGTGGAGGATGACAATGACTACGTAGAGCTACAGGTAAAAACTTTTTTATCTTCTTAGTCCTCCTAAATTATAAAGTTGAGTTACTATGGTAACTGATGACGAACTTGTATCCAAAGCAAACTCAAAGCATACAGTAACTTTCATGATCGACCACTTTTGACTCAGACAAAAATTGACTTTGAAAAGCAGCAGATGGAAGTGCAGAAAGAACAAAGAGATAAAGTCACATCAGACAAAGTCTATAACAATATACAGGTCAGTATCTTCTTTTTAAACAAGGGGTTTGTTTCTTTAAATTAAATGAGTTAAATGAGCATGACCAAATTGAGAAAAATCTTTGCATCTTAGAAAATGTATTTTTTATACATTATCTATAAATGTCTCCATCCAGGTATCAAAACCGTTCTTGTACTCAGATAAAGACAATGTGTGTCAATCTTTGCCTTATTTGTTCCACTGCTTAGGCTCTTAACAAGTGTCACTCCTCTGAGTCCTGCAGCGGCACAGAAGAACATCGACCAGCCTCTGTGTCAGAGCACTGCCGGCTTTATTTTGGTGCTCTCCAGAAGGCCATCGGGGGATTTGTGGGCAGCCTCCGGGATGGTCAGCCACCAGAGAAATTCATCTCGCAGAGTAAGCTGGTGATCATGGTGGGCCAGAGGCTGGTGGACACCTTGTGCAGAGAGGCCCAACGTGGAGGGTCCCCCCAGAGCCTCCTGTGTAAGAGTAACCACCTGTGTGCTCTTCTGAAGCAGCTGGCTGTGGCCACTAAGAAGGCAGCACTGCACTTCCCTGATAAGCAAGCTCTGCATGAGGCTCAAGAGTTTGCTAAAGAACTTGCCCAAAGAGCACAGCACTTTCGAAAATCGCTTGACCTCTGAACATATCAAGCAAGTGGATTTGTTTGTACAGCAAAAAACATATATTCATCATCTGTTTTAGTTTTCATTCATGCCATATTCAACGACATTGATGCTACTTATTGATACTAGCCAAAGGGTCATCACTTGAGCTAAAATTCTCCACAATTATGAATGCAGGTACTGGTTACTATAGTGGAGGAAATAATTATTCGATCAATTGCCGATTTTGTAAGTTTACCCACTTACAAAGAAATGAACAGTCTATCATTTTAATGGTAGGTTTATTTCACTAATGAGAGACAGAATATCAAAAATAATATCCAGAAATGTACATCACATAAGAGATATAAATTAATTTGCATTTAATTGTGTGAAATAAGTATTTAAACCCCCAACCGGTCTGTGTGAGAATAACGTAAGTCCTCTTCCTTTAGGAAAGTACTCCTAATATCTACTTGTTACCTGTATAAAAGACACCTGTCCACAGAATCAATCAATCAATCAGATTCCAACCTCTCCACCATGGACAAGACTAAAGAGCTGTCTAAGGACCTCAGGGACAAGACTGTAGACCTGCACAAGGCTGGGATTGGCTACAAGACCATCAGAGAGCAGCTTGATGAGAAGGAGACAACTGTTAGTGCCATTATTCAGAAATAGAAGAAACACAAAATGAGCATCAGTCGCCCTCATACTGGGGCTCCTTTGGGGTGTTTCTCTGCTAAGGGGACAGGACGACTTCCCTGCATCGAGGAGAGGGTGGACGGGGCTATGTACAGGGAAGTCTTGGCCGATAGCC